AGTTGGAGAGGAAGGGAGGAAGGAGGCCGGATGCAGCAGCCAGAGGAGTGGGGAGAGAGAGAGAGACTGTGTGGGCCGGGGTCAGGGGGTTGTGGGTCATGGATAGTGGCAAGCCGATAATTATGCTAATGGGTCCCAGTGTGAAAAAGGTTGAGTACCACTGCATTAGAAAGCCAGGCTCAGTGGGTCCATGAGCCTAGGTCTAGGGATGGTGTCAAAAATGTCAAAGGCCTGCACAAGAGAGACAGCACACCCTCCAGTCCAGCATAGCTAAGGCACCTCATTTTCTGTAGCCAGTGGCACACAAGGGAGGGGTGTGGATAGCATCACATCTGGCTGCTTTTTATTCCACAGCCCCAGTTACACAGGTTATGCATTTCCAGCTGGATCTACTTTGGAGTGGCGTTCAGCTTTGAGTGCCAAGCAGAGCTGAGGTCTCTGGACTGGTGGAAAACACTGCTGCCCTTTAAGTCCCCAGGAAGGGTAGGAGGCGTGCAGACCAAACTGGAATATCTCATCTGTATTATTGTAATAGCAGTGGCTGAGCAGGCAGCCATTCTCGGCCTAGGGTGGGACAGAGGGTTGCAGTCACTGCTCCCGCAGCAGAGTCTTCTGCCATCTCTCAGTCCTTTTACCTGAGCTCTGGGCAGGTAGGGCTGCTCTCAGGGGGGATGGGAGGGAATTCACAAAGAAAAAAGTGAATTACAGTGTGGAGGCTTTGTCTAGCTCTCATGGACCCCACCTGTCTGCTTGGTTTTGCTCCTCTTAGCAGGTGGAGTTGTCAGGCTTGTCAGCTTGTTCCTGAGTTCAGTTTCTCAGATAGTAACTTAATTTGCCATCTGCCCTGCTCTATTGCTGCTTTAAGGGATGGCAATCTTGTGCCCTCTTTTCTTGGCAAGGGGCCCAGCTTTTTGACTCCTACGGTACCACATCAACCTGCAATGATGCTCACACTGCCTAGTATGATAAAGGCTAGCCAGCCTCCAAGACCATCTGTGCTTAAAGTCACTTTCTCAGGTGTTTCAGAGATGGATTTTGCCACCCTCTGAGCACAAACCCAGGACAAAGAAGGGTTGTTTTCTTGGTTTGGTGATGCAGAAGAGCACTTAGATGTCATGTAAAATCCTTTATAAAGAACTTTTGGTCTAGGAACAGGCAGAAACACTGAGCTGAGCTGGGGCTTCTTTGCCTGACCATCAGTGTCCCCAGAAGTTCTCCCAGTTCAAAGGAGCCTGCACCCAGTGCAGAGGTAGCCCTGACAGTAATGCAGAAACATTTAGGGCAGCGTTTCTCAACCCGTGGGTCGTGACCCAAAAGCAGGTCACAAGATATATGAAAGGGTCGTGAGCAAACTTTAAAAATGGATCAGCAAACTTCAAAAATGGGTTCTCCTTTTAAGGGAGAAAATGTGGGAAACTATGGCTTTTCCCTTGTAGGCTAGCAGAGCTCCAGCCTGCGAGGGGCTGCTTGGGGCCCCCTATGCCCCATATACCCAGCCCCTGCCCCACACACTAGGATGGGAGGGGGTTCTGGGGGGCAGCAGGACAGGAGTGAGGAGCACTGGGTCAGGACTGGCCATCAATGTTTACAAATGGGT